AATATACCGAATAGTCTCAGTGTCTATCAGCAGATGAGTGATGAGGAAAATTGGTCATATGGGGTTTTATCCAGGTTTAAGAAGAATGAAGTGACTTCCTTTGGAAAAATGAACTAGAGATCCTCATGTTAATGAAAATAAACTAGACTTAGAATGACATATACTATCTGTGCACATATGGAATCTAGATTAAATCATACATGGTAGTTGAAGTGGGGCCATTTTCAATGAGAACAGAGAGGCAGAAAGGAGGAAGGCGACCAGTGAGGGTGAAGTTGGACTATAATTGAAAGCACTTATGTTCACCAGGGAAATGAAAACTGATGCATATTTTCTCTTAGAAATAACCAAGATTTAAAAATGCATATACAAGATATGAAAAGCCAAGGAGATCTACTTGTGACAGGAAGTGTACTGACAGGAGGAGAAACTGGACAGGGCAACAGAGAGTAAAAGATAAATGTTCCATGTTTCTCCCATGTGCAATCTAGAATGAAATGTACATGTACATGATATTAGAGGAAAGGGGATTATTAGTGTGGAAAGAGGGGACCAGCATTTGGAACAAATAGGGACAGAGAGGACAGCAGGAAGTTGCTGATTATGAACCACGTTCAGTGACATCATGCATGAAAATATCACAGTGAATATCCTTTTTACAGTATAAAAAGCAATAAATTAAGAAAACGCTGTTACTAATGTGGGGGAAAGAGCACGTGTATACTCTTTTCTGTAATAAATCAAAGTATTTTCAGCCAGTATAGAAGCTGTGTAGATGTTCCTGAAAAATTACAAATCAGAACTAATATCGGATCCAGTGATAACATTCCTGGGTGTGTCCACATAAGTCGTTAGTGCTTGCATTTAATAGAGCTTCTCTCTCTGTGTGTCTCTCTGTCTCTATCTCTTTGTCTTTATCTCTGTCTCTGTCTCCACACTGGTTATTCATGTGCCATGCAAGTGTTGAACCACTGAGTTTTATCTGCAGGTGCCTTTTGATTTTTATCTTGAGATGGTCTTCAAAGTCCCACAGGCTGTCCTTGCTCACTCTATGTGGCCCAGGTTAGCCTAGAACTTGTGATCCCCCTGCCTCAGCCACCTGATTAATTGTGATTACTGTCCTGCAATATCATGATTGTAGCTCATGGTGTCTGTTTATATATCATTTCCTTTTTCATTCCTTCATTTAGAACAGGTCGTTTTTCTTTTCTTCTGAATTGTCATGATTATGAGGCCATGATCTATTTTCTTATTCATTTATTTATGGTTATGATTTTTTGTCCTGGATAGATGTTCCATGTTTTATTATCATTCAGTTTTAAGCTTTATTGAAGGATGATTGACAATACACTCATGTTAAAAAGCCTCTTAACTTGCTTTCTTTTTCTCACTGCATTCATTGATTACAAACATGACTTTGACTTTATTCACAAAATGTAGACAGACTAGTATATCTACTGAACAATGAGGTGGAGCCCACCAAATTCCCAATCTCCTGGAGACAGGGGGATTATGCAAGATGGCTGTCCAATCAGGTCAGATCCTATCTCTCAGATATCCTGAGTGACTCTCCATGGCGTGTGGTGTCGGCATCTTCCTGGGCTGGTGGACACCAGTGCAGGAGGCTCCCTGGTCTCACCTTGGAATTCCAGGGCTGGGAGGCTGGAAGATCAGCTATGTCTTTCTTGGTGTCATGATGCACAGGTGGGCATAAGATACATCCTGGGCCCCCTTGAACACAACAGCCTGGGGTAAGAGAGAAGAAGTTAGGTGCTTGGCCTAGATTTGAGTGCCTGGGGCCTGGGGAGGACAAGACTCACCTCATTGTCCAATTTTCTGTCTTCTGTCTCTCTGTTCTTTGATCTCAGTAATCCCCTTGACAAGGTTGAAGGAGGAGAGGTGGCCCCTGCTCTCCTGAGCCTTGAGGTTTTCCCCAGGGCATATATCTCTTTCAGGGGGTCTTCGTCAGATGGGTTGTGCAGAAGTGAGACAGTGTCTCTTGGTTCCCCTGAGGTTTCATCAGTCAGATTCTACAGGGTGGCCAGAGTACTCCTTTAGACATTTAAATCAGACTATAGCATTCCTAATGGGTCTTCAGGGGCTTCCTGAGGACCTGAGGTATCTGACAGCTCCGTTCCTTCAAGTCTGACATCCAGTAACACAACTCAGCTTCCTGAGAGAGCCTGCCTCTGCCCTGGACCTACTAGCCTGCAGTGTATCCTGTCTGCAAGAGGTGTTTCATTAGAGTCTATCTGGGAAGACACCTGTCAGAGCCCTGGAGATTCACACTGGCCCTGTCTGCTCTCCTTCCCCTTTCTCTGCTCCATTTGCCTGAAGCACATGGCACTGCTCCCACTCTGCATGGTTAGCTGGTTTTCCCCAGGGGATGGAGAGCTTGGCTCCCTGTAGCATCTGCAGCCCCTACAGGAAGCCTGGTCCCGGGCGAGCTCCAGGGTCTGGGCAATGGCTCAGCAAGTGAAATGGTTACTGAAAAGAATGAGTACTGGAGTTTGATCCCCAGCACCCTGCCATGTAATGACTAGGCAGGACTGTGATCCCAGCACTGGAGAGTGAGAGTCAGGGGATTCCTGAGACTTGCTGACCAGGAAGCCTAGAAAAATCACCAAGCTCTAGAGTGAGAAATCTGCTTCACAAATAAATTGGAGAGGATTGAGACAGTCACCCAATGCCAATCCCTGCCCGGCAGACATTTGCACACACATACAAATACATATATAAAGAAAAACATAGAAAAAGAGGGAGCCCCTGTGGGTGCTGGGGGCAGGTTCAATGGTTCTAATTTATTCATTTGTCCTACTAGTTCTGTTCTCAGTGCAGGATATTAAACCCAGTACCTTGTACATGGAAGAAAAATCCCTCTACCACTGAACAGTAGGTGCAGCTGCTCAGGTGTCCTTCTGAGACACTGGGAACATGTTCACAGCCAGACAGATGCTGAGGGGACAAAAATATAGAGAACCCATGTTTTATTATCATTCAGTTTTCAGCTTTATTGAAGGATGATTGACAATACACTCATGTTAAAAAGTCTTCTCTTAACCTGCTTTCTTTTTCTCACTGCATTCATTGGTTACAGACCAGACTTTGACTTTATTTACAAAATGTCGACAGACTAGTATCTCTGTTGAACAATGAAGTGGAGCCCACTAAATTCCCAGAATCTCCTTGGAGACAGGTGGGTTCTGAAAGATGACCATCCACTCAGGGCAGATCCTATCTCTCAGATGTCCTTGAGTGACTCTCCATGGCATGTGGTGTCAGGATCTTCCTGGGATGGTGGACACCAGTGGGGGGGGCTCTCTGGTCTCATCTTGGGCTTCTTTGCATGGGAGGCTGGAGGATCAGCTATGTCTTTCTTGGTGTCACGATGCAAAGGTGGGCATAGGATGCATCCTGGGGACCCTTGAACACAGCAGCCTGGGGTCAGAGAGAAGTTAGGTGCTTGGCCTAGATTTGAGTGCCTGGGGCCTGGGGAGGACAAGACTCACCTCATTGTCCAATTTTCTGTCTTCTGTCTCTCTGTTCTTTGATCTCAGTAATCCCCTTGACAAGGTTGAAGGAGGAGAGGTGGCCCCTGCTCTCCTGAGCCTTGAGGTTTTCCCCAGGGCATATATCTCTTTCAGGGGGTCTTCGTCAGATGGGTTGTGCAGAAGTGAGACAGTGTCTCTTGGTTCCCCTGAGGTTTCATCAGTCAGATTCTACAGGGTGGCCAGAGTACTCCTTTAGACATTTAAATCAGACTATAGCATTCCTAATGGGTCTTCAGGGGCTTCCTGAGGACCTGAGGTATCTGACAGCTCCGTTCCTTCAAGTCTGACATCCAGTAACACAACTCAGCTTCCTGAGAGAGCCTGCCTCTGCCCTGGACCTACTAGCCTGCAGTGTATCCTGTCTGCAAGAGGTGTTTCATTAGAGTCTATCTGGGAAGACACCTGTCAGAGCCCTGGAGATTCACACTGGCCCTGTCTGCTTTCCTTCCCCTTTCTCTGCTCCATTTGCCTGAAGCACATGGCACTGCTCCCACTCTGCATGGTTAGCTGGTTTTCCCCAGGGGATGGAGAGCTTGGCTCCCTGCAGCATCTGCAGCCCCTACAGGAAGCCTGGTCCCGGGCGAGCTCCAGGGTCTGGGCAATGGCTCAGCAAGTGAAATGGTTACTGAAAAGAATGAGTACTGGAGTTTGATCCCCAGCACCCTGCCATGTAATGACTAGGCAGTTCCCCAGGGGATGGAGAGCTTGGCTCCCTGCAGCATCTGCAGCCCCTACAGGAAGCCTGGTCCCGGGCGAGCTCCAGGGTCTGGGCAATGGCTCAGCAAGTGAAATGGTTACTGAAAAGAATGAGTACTGGAGTTTGATCCCCAGCACCCTGCCATGTAATGACTAGGCAGGACTGTGATCCCAGCACTGGAGAGTGAGAGTCAGGGGATTCCTGAGACTTGCTGACCAGGAAGCCTAGAAAAATCACCAAGCTCTAGAGTGAGAAATCTGCTTCACAAATAAATTGGAGAGGATTGAGACAGTCACCCAATGCCAATCCCTGCCCGGCAGACATTTGCACACACATACAAATACATATATAAAGAAAAACATAGAAAAAGAGGGAGCCCCTGTGGGTGCTGGGGGCAGGTTCAATGGTTCTAATTTATTCATTTGTCCTACTAGTTCTGTTCTCAGTGCAGGATATCAAGCCCAGTAACTTGTACATAGTAGAAAATCCCTCTACCACTGAACTGTAGGAGCAGCCACTCAGATGTCCTTCTGAGACACTAGGAATATGGTAACAGCCAGACAGATGCTGAGGGGCCAAAAATATAAAAAGGGTGACATAGTCCCAGGAAAACCAAGATGGAATGAGTTTCTCATAGAAAGTGACAGATGCTTCAGAAAGGAGGATATCAGTGGTGGATGTGACTGAGACTGAGAGAGGGGAGGACAGAGAAGGACCCTGGAACAAATTGGGCTGTAAGGACTACAGGACTGTCAACTGGGACAGGGTCTCACCAGGCTGTCCTTCTCCACACTGCCCTTAGGGTGCTGGACCTTCACAGAAGCATCTGATGTGGAAGAACAAGGAAGATATCTCCTGGCCAGAGTCCTGGAATCTCTCAGATCCTTAGATTCCCTCTGCTGCCCCACATGGGGACAGAGCCAGGAATCATGGTGATGCCCCCAGTCTATTGTTTCAGGGCCACGAAGCCTTGACCACAGTCCCTCCTCTCCACCCCTATGTTGCCAAGACCTCAGGTATCCCCTTCCCCAGGGCCCTCTTCTCTCACATGAGATTTCTTTCTTGATGGCAGTAGATGGGCCGGATCTGAGGGCAAAAAGGGGTGTGAGTTGGTGGGGAGGAGCAGGAGACAAGTGGGAATCTTCGTTACTGGGCTTGAGTTACCTCGTTTGAGGACCTCTCTCCCTGGGCACTGGCTCCTCAGCGACCTCTGGAAGTTGTATGTCATTGATTTCACTCTGTACTGAAAGAAAGAGAAGAGTCTCAATTATAAGTGGGAAACCCTGTCCCAAAACCTGCAAGGAAGAAAGGGAACTTGCAACCACATGAGGTAACTGCAAATATTCCAGATGAACAGCTCACAAAATACCAGACATTTGCACAGCTACTGAGGTCACATGTTTCAGATCAGATGCTCTGTGGAAGTGTTCCTAAGCTGACTTGCCCCAGTCTGGCTGGTTTCCCTGGGGCTGGTGACCTGAGTCCCTGCTTGGATGGTCCACAGGGGAGCGCCCCACCTCCTGAGAACCAGTTCACCCACATCCTACTTACACTCTTTCCTGCATTTGTCCTGACACCTCCATCGCAGGAGAAGGGAGATGAGGAGGAAGAGCAGGAAGAAGACCACTGAGACCCGGATCAGAATTGCCTGGTAAGTCCCCAGTCCTGTGGCACAAGTGACTTCATGTGTCAGGAGTAGTGTTAGTTGAAGAGCACTTAATGCATGGAGGCCTGTGCTTGGACTTTACATTCAGCATCTCCTATGCTTAGGATCATATAACATGGATCTGTTCTGCCCCCAGCCTGTTCATCTGCCCCAGGTCACCCAGCTAGAAGAGGCTGAGTTGGATTGAATCCAGGGAATCTGACTTTCCAGCCTTGTTCTCTCTACCAGGTCAGCCCCAAGGAGGGAAGGAGCCTGAATATTATGCTGTCGCCCAGTGAATGACCTTCTCACAATGTCAGTGTCTCTGTGACAAAGGTTAGAGGCCCATTGCAGAATCAGGTTGTGGAGGCCTCCTCTCCCAGGAGAGGTCACAGCCAAGGTGAGGCCTGAAAGGAACTCTAAGGTCAGGGAGTAGGCCTTTGTCATTCATACTTGGAGAGACCAAGGACAACTCAGGGGCGGGGTTTGTCATATTCAGCATCCAAGAAGAGGACACACCAACCCCATAACTACATCTGGTCCCCCTGAACCCACCTCCCTATAGTTCCCTTTTACCATCCTAGTGAACTGACTCCATGGGTGTGAGACGCTGCTTCTCAAGTCCTCATGGTGGGATGGGAAGGTGAGGGTCTGGCCTCCCCACTCTCCCCCCAGCCCAGCTGCTCCTCTCCCAGCCTGGAACCAAACCCCTTTGGGTGCTTCTACAAGCCCTCCTGAAGCACAGCCTCAAGTATTGAAATTCTATGGTTTCTGTTGGCATCTCTGTCTGATCTCTGGGTTTCTGGACACAAGCTTAGCTGACACAGGAACCAGGATTTAGATGGGCTGAGAGTCTACTGGCAGCTAAGGGATAGAGCTTAGTCCCTGCACAGAAGCCCCTGACATTCACCAGGTCTTGAGTTGGGCCATGTGGGTGGGGTGCTTTGCCTACAGAGGATCATGGGAAAGAGAAGAAGAGGAAGGGACGAGGCAGAATCTGCCATGGAGATACAGCTGCTGTTCACTCTCTTACATCTGCCCTGGGGCCTCCCCAGGAACCTCCTGCTGCTGAGTTGGAACCAAGGTTTTCATGAAGGAGATTTGGCTGGGCATTCCAAGAGGGCCTCCTCTGGTCTCCAGCTCTCCTAGGAGTGAATCTCCTGTCTGAGACTTCCTATGACCTCTAATCCCATCCTAACAGAGGGCTGTCTTGAGGAGAGGAGGCTGAGTCTTTTTCTCAGCTCAGGGGCCACAGTCCCGAAGCTACAAGTTCCACAGGGGCAAGGGTACATGAAAACAGGAAGGGGATGAGCCTTGAAAAAAATACCACTTCTAAGTCCAACCAATGGATGAGGTTACATCATTCATAGAGAAGTCTGCCCAGTCTTCCCAGGGTGAGATCTCAGGCTAAGACAGAGTGGGGAATTGACTACCCCATCCTTGTTCAGAAGTACAGTGTCCCCTTGACTCCATGACTGACACAGTAGTGTCACATTCTCTACTGAGGATACTGTGGGACCTGGCTATTCTGAGACGGAGGGTGGGACTCTGAAATGTCCTAGAAAGAAGGATGTATTGAGAGACTGAGTTTTTCCTTGTCTGCTGACACATCACTGCGGCCTGAATCTGAGGATATGGGTCTCTGTGTCTGGCTTCTCTGATTCTGATCCTTCCCTTCTCCACTGTCTTGTTTCTGTCCCTCCATTGTACCCCAAAGTTTCATGCTAGCCTTAATCCCTGGGCTCTCCTAGCAGGGTCTATGAAGATCCTGGGTTCCTAACTGGATTCACTTAGCCCTTCACCTGTGATCAGTATGTCCAGGACATCACTGGGGACTACCCACTGGGAGGAGAGACTCTGTGCACCATAGCACCTGTGCCAGCCTCCAGTGGAAGCCCTCAGAGGGGCAAGTGGGAAGCTGGCCTGGGGCTCTCAGACTGGACTTTGGAAGAGGCCAGATTCCTTCTCTCTGAACAAAGAAAATCTGTTGTGGCTGATGTCAGAGCTGTACTGGAAGGTCAGAATCTATCTGGGGCTCAGAATAGCTTCTGCTTGTAATATCAAGAAGGGCAGCTAGGATAACCCTGGAGGCCAGATGGAATGATGTTTGAGGATCTCTTTCCTACCATATATATGCCCCCTCAATCCTGCCATGCAGGCATCATGGTCTCTCACTCTGTGGTACTCTGGCTCAGGAGCAAAGAGGTCCCTTCAGCCTTCCTCCCAGCTGAAATCCCCAGACAGTAACAGGACTCATGGCAAAGGGCCTCAAAATGATGCCATGAAAAATGGGGCTTCCTACCTGAGATTTGTATTTCCAGGGGGTCACTGGGTTCTGACCACCTGTGTGGGTCTGTCTTGTTATAGCCATAACATCTGAAGGTTCTCCTGCTGTTGGGGATCAGAGGGCCCAAGGTGAACAGTGCCTGGGATTTCCAAATGGGTGAATGCTGTGAGTCCAAGGACATGGAGAGATTCTGTTCTCCTTCTTCGGTCAGAACGAGCATGTCATATCCTTCTTGTGACACACAATGGAGGGTCAGGTTCTCTGCTGATGTCACCAGAGGGGTGGGCAGAGCCAACAGCTGTGGTTTACTGTTATAGATTCCTAGGACAGAAGAAGGCATCATGCTAATGAACTCACATCTCCCCCATTATGTCCTAGGGCTGAATAATGAGAACAGGCACTGTGAGATGAGACCCCTTTTCCTAAGGGCAGAGCCTGGGTATGGGGACCTCACCTATGATCATCACCTCCAGTGTGCCACTACACAGGGTAGCCTGAAGGGCTGTAATAGTAATAACAATATCACCCTCCATACTCCTCTGGCAATGGAAGGGAGCAAGCCCTAGTTCTTCGGCTCCATTGGGATCTGTGTGTTCCAGATTACTGAGATTCCCTCTTTTTGCAATACATGTTGTTTGTGCCTCCCGGGCCCCCTGACATCACATGTTCAACCTGATGTGATCACAGAGAATGGCTCACCTTGGTTGGTGGGTTTTCGGAGGGTCCCTGCAAAGAATCAGGTGAGGAAGAGGGGTCTGTTTGAATGGTGACACAGTGAACCTCAACTTAGAGATGACATTTAAGCTGGATCCTAAATTGCAGTAGGACCAGGGAATCCATGAGAGACCGATCCCTCTCTTGGACTCCTGGTTTTACTCTCATTCTCTGCCTTGGATTCTGTGTCTTGGGCCACTGTGTCCCATACTCAGTATTAGTGGTATCAAGAGGCCTGTCTTCCCTTACCCTTCCCACAAACGGGCCACCCCTGGGAACCAATGTCAGGTCATTCTCGGGCAAGGTCGGGGCTGACTGAACTGAGTCCATAAGCTCCATGAGGTCACTGGGGTCTGTCCAGACCTCAGGTTCCTCAGGTGAGAACCACAGCATCTGACCCTTCCCCTCTGGCTGGGTGTCACAGTGCCTGCAGAGAACAGGGTCTGAGATTGCCCAGTAGAGTGTATGTACAGTGAGTTCAGGGTCCAGGAGAGCTCATGAGGCTCCTCCTTATTCAGGTTCACTTTCTTAATGCTTCCATGACACAAAATGGAGGAACATGATCCCTCCTGCAGTGACTGCAGCCCTGCTCTGACCTCTGAGGCTGAGTTTGCTTGTATATAATGCTAGGAGAGAAGGCCGGGTGTTAAATAGAATCACACAGCCCACACTGTCTTAAAGGCTAGGCTGTGAAGGAGGACATGTTTGAGAGAAGACCCCTTTCCTGAGAATAAAGCCTAGGGTAGGACCCCTGAGTGTCTTCTCACCTGTCACCACCAGCTCCAGTGAGTCACTGTGCTCTGACCAGCCAGCATGGGAGGAGAAGGAACAGTTATATTGGCCTGCATGGTTCATTTCAATGGATGGGATGAACCAATGGGCCCTGTTCCCAGGGTACAGTGGGGTCTGTGACCACCAGGAATCTTTTCGTCCACCTTTATAGAGAAAGAATTCGAAGGCCCCTGCGATACCCTCACATGAGATGGTCACCTGGGTCCCTTTGGGGACAACAGAGCCTGGTTCAGCCCTGATTGTGGGCCTGGGGAGCAGTCCTGCAGGGAAATCAGAGGTGGGGTCACAGGACATCCATCAGCCACACCTGCTGCTCTCTGTCTCCAGTGCCCACAACTGACCCCTTGTCCTCAATAAGGAGGACTTACCTGTGACATCTGGGGACACACTCACCTGCCAGCACTGGGGTCCTGAGGTCCAGACTCAGTCCTGGAAGAGAGTTTTCTGTGAGAGGTTTGCCCTGAAGCCTGAGCAGTTCCTCCCCTCTGAGTCCCTGAGATGACTTGATCATGTAAAAGGTTCAGCTGTTATGCAGGTCACTCCCAGCCTAGGTAGATTCCTTCACCCTCTTTATCTCTCACCAAGGCAGAGCAGGGCTGTGAAGGTGGGAGCCATGGCTTTTACTCCTTGTAGCTGCAGCCTTACAGAGTCTTGATGACAGTGCCCTGTTGGATGGGCAGACTCACAGGTTATGGCCTTTAGAGGCTTGATCCCCCATCCTCTCATGAGAGTTTCATTTCCGCTAACCCACAGGAAACGGAACTGTCCTTCAGAAGAGACAGGCTGTCCTTTCCTGGGCGCTTTGGTGTCTGGATTCTAGACTCCCCATCGTTCATCTTTCATAGCTTTTGTTTGTTTGATTGTTGTTAGATTTTGAGACAGAGTGTCATTGTATAGCACTTGGTGGTCTGGAATTCACTTTGTGGATTAGGATGGCCTGTAATTCATAAAATTCTGTATGCTTGTATCTTCCCTCTCAAGGATCAGAAGACCCTCAACAGGAGTTAAGACCCAGAACGAATTAGGCAGGTGAGGCCTGGCTAATACAGCACTTGTGTCGATTTAGAGGGAAGGCAGTGGAGGTGACATAACAATACATTAATAATGTTTAGTGGATGTTTCCTTTGTTCTTTTTCTAAACTTTAGCATTTGCAATAATATTGTGTCACATTTAACGACCTTTGTCTTTTTCTGTTTTTGAGAACTGGTTGTAACCTGTAGCCTAGTCAGCACTCAAACTCATAACCCTCATGCCTCAGACTTCCAAGTCTGGAATGCAGATGAACACACAGTGCTCAGCTCTTTGTTCCTTTGTTAAATGTGCTCACTCATCACTACAGACTTTCTTCAGTGTTTCCTTTGTTTACTCAAAGACATGACAGTATGTTCGGTACTGGAGATTGAGCATGGGGCCTCTGGCAATAACCAGGAATTTGCCACACATCACTAGCTTCATCTCATAAGATTCAATATGT